GTTTTTTTTGCATTTTACTAAACACTGACCTGTTTCTGGATCCACGGAGAAGTACGGCTGGCCCTCCAGGATGCTGTAGACAACTTTGGCGCTGTTCCCGTACGTGGCGTCATCGGCGTCTGTGGCTGTCACCTGAATTACTGAGGTGCCTGCGGGTAGGAAGATTCATGACAATGATTTAGATCAACTCTTCAATACTGCTGAAAATTGCCTGCTGGATAATTGGTTAAGCTGATGCACCTTCTGATGAGGTGTCGGATCCTCTTCTAATCACGCCCATGCAGAATGTGACGGATCATTTCTGTCCCTTTGCGTTACCCAAACCAATCTTTATTCCTCGGCCACTTATACCCTTATACATGATTGATTTTTGCAGGTAATCAATAACTCCTAATGTATTTTTCTAAGTATATCTCTCTAAGCATGCCAGCAGCACCTATACTGGCTCTCTGCAAGCCCCGAGAAGCCTATTAGCGTATCCACAGATCTGGAGTGTCTGAGAAGCCAAATATCTGATAGCAGGCGAACGACTGTGATCCATTTTCTCTTCCAGAAAGGCTGAGGCCCTATTTCAGTAGAACAAAGGCAAACGGTTAGCCAAGTGCTACCTCCCAAATGGCGCCTTGCGGGGCCAAGTGTTGCCTCATTAAATGCAGAAGAAAATTAATTGAGTAGAAATATTTAATGGCAAAGTGGTATAAATATAGAATTGTGCAATACAATGGGATAACGACCTCATGAAACTTCTGTAATTTGATGTCAGCGGAGATCAGTGTGGGGTGAGACCAGAGTTTCCCTCCTTTAAAACCCATGTGATTTGTATGGATGAAGGATGTTGTAGAAATAAAATAAAAAAGGCAGACAGAGAAAGACCACGGCTGTCTGATTTGCTGTAAGTGACAGTTCGGGAGGATTCTTGAGCAAGTTCACCGAACCTTGATCGCTAATACCTTTAACTAGGGAATTAGACTCAAAGAGGCTTTTCTGACATGGCGGCTTTTAGAAAATATCACTGATCCACATCAGCCATCTCATCGGCAACTTTAAGCTTTCGAGACAAGAATTTTCTGACAAACAACTCAGGAATAATCACGGTTCTTTGTGCAGGGGGAGTAAATTACCCCCAACTGCAATCATTCACTTGTCAAAGGGAGGAGCGCGTCAAAATCTCGAGAGTCCGAGCGAAGGATGTCAGAGCCGTGAGACTATAATAAAACTCAAAGTGTCACATTTAAAGGGGCAGTGTCTCAAGGCAGTCACTCGTGAACACATGCTCTGCCAAGCGGTGACATCACACCTCGGTTGTTGCCATGGGCACCCGTGCTGCCCTTAGATAAGTGCCGGCCTCTCTCTTGGGGTTGCTGAACCAAGTGACAACTCTGTCACATGTCTGGGCTGCAAGACCAACGTCCCTCAGCCCCAGAAGCACGGCAGCAGCAGCAGCACAACATATAGTTCACCCCGTGTTTGCGCGCAAGTATTGATGACTTTTTTTTCCTATTGTTTATCTATATTCATGAGTCTGCTGTGTGCTTTTAGGCTGGAGCCAAAGTGCACCGTGAATTATTTCATTTGCTGTTTGAATAACAAGCAGAAAGGACGCCGCAAAAGCAGCGAATGGTGCCGTGCGGCGTCTAAGGAAGTGGCAGCGCAGAATCCACAATTATTCACTGTGATGACACAGCTGACAATGTCGGTAATTAAATTAAATGTCGCTTTAACAAGATACAATACTGTATTTAAAAGATTATCTGCACCGGCGCTGTCGAGACGCTTCTACCTTGTTTATTCTCCGGTCATAAAACAGCTCCTAGTCTTTCTCGTTTAATTAGTTGGGCCTTCTTTGTTGCATCGGCATCATTATTATGATTGATAAAGTCCCATTGATCCGGTAAGGCTGGCATTTTATAACATCTCTATCCTGTTTGAATCATAATCCTTTTAATTCGGCTCCTCTTGCGCGCACAGGCGCAAACCTTCATTTGTGTCAACGTTTAATTGTCTGATAAATAGCTCTTTTTAAGAGTCTAATATTTACGGCTGGAACGTACCAATGTCAGACATTTCAGGGACTCTGGCCATGTACGGGTCCTTGGTGAAGCGCGGCTCGTTGTCGTTGATGTCGTGGATCTTGATGATGAACTCGGACTCGCCCTCGAGCGCTTCGTTGGTGAAGCGGTTGACAGCTTTGGCGTGGAGGATGTAGAAGGCCTTCTCCTCCCTGTCCAGCCTCTTGGTGGCATGGATGTCCCCTGACTTTTCATCTATCTTGAAGAGGGTCCCGGCTCCTTCCCCTGTCAAGACATACTTCACGCTGCCATCGCCTCTGTCAGAATCCGAGTGAAGCTGTGTGGAAAGAAAGAGGGGGAAAAAAAGGAGAAAATATGATTTGGATCTGCTACAACACAAAACACCCATTTCAGGCAACAGTTTGTGGCATTTTCACTTTAATGAATTTCCATTTTGCTGCTTTCTACTGCTAATTGTTACAGCACAACAGAGATTCAAACTCGGCTTTATGAAAGCTTTCACATTTGCTTAATTCCCTCTTATGAACAGCGAGTGTCAGCTACCCTTCCACATTTAAAAAAAAAGGAAAAAAAAAGATCTCCTTGTTAGCCTGAGCAGAAATGGTGACAGTGAACAAAAATCTTCATCTGCTGCAGTCCAAGCTGCACCGCTTGATTGACGGCTGCAAAAACACATCCCGGCGATGAGCGCTTTGCAGCAAAGATGTCAGCAAAAATCACATTTCAAAGGCGAATCGCGGCATTTCTGATCGACTGCGCGCACATCGCTGATCTGACCAATCTGGGCCCTGGCAAATAAACGCTGACAGCTTTTGATAAGTGTGTTTGGTGTTATTTAACAGATTCATATCATCTCTGGTAAACTGTCATCGTGTTGTGACGATACACATTCACCTCGCCTCTGTGAAGCTCGCGTCCCGCCGAGAAGAAAGCCAGCAGCCGGAGCGTGTAAAATGTCGCGTTCACTGCTACTGTTACTTTTTTACTTTTCGCTGAAAGGGTGGGTGAGGGAGGGGACACACACACACACACATACGCATGTCTGTGGGGTTACCAGCATGAGTGAGCACACGCCCCACAGCCTGCCAGTCCCTGATGGATCAGCAGCAGGACCAACATGCCAGAAGACCACGAGAGCCCACTTGTGTGTGGAGCTCCTCGTTATTATTATTTGCTCTGTTCCTCCCTATCTCCTGTTTAATTTTTTTCTGCATGAACAGCAGCTTAGCATGCTCTGACATTTTAATTCCACAGCCAAATCTCCCCCACCCCAACCACACACACACACACACAACATATTTATCTCCGAGAACTCATCAAAAGCTTGTCCAGTCTTTTCTCCCCTCCCACTACTTCCCTTCCTACTTCCCTTTCCCCTTTTTTAATAACCAAGGACACAGCAATAATTGCAGGGTGGGGTGGCGGGGGAGGTAGAGGGCAAAAAAAGGAGAGCACATGTTTGCAGACACGGGCAAACATGTCAAGCATAAACCGAGGCAAACGCCATCCGAATGTTTACCCGCGCAAGTGGATGCCGGGATGTAATTCCGAGGTCCGTTATTGACACCTCATTAACTCAAGTGAGCCGGCACGTTTGATTTTGCCGGCTTGAATGCTTATTTTTTTTCCTCCCTTTTGCGCCGGTAGTTTCTGTTGTGTCTATAAAGGTTCTTGGCTCAGCCGCTGGACAGACTGAGGGGGGGATATTGTGCGTCGCAGCTGGGTCACGTGGGACCACATTGCAAAGTCTCCCTTCTCATCATATATTAAAAAGCTTTTCATCGCAGGTGCTCGGAAGCTTTACTAATTCATGCTGTTTTATCAGGGCAAAGCTGGCACATGTGAGATGAACAGCTTTGTGGATTAGCATCTTTAACACTGTTTTGTTCGACTGCTTGAATGCTGGTAAAAAAAAAAGAAAAAAAGACTGTTTTCATTCCTTTCTCTGTCTGTCTAACCAAGCCAGTCAAGTGTGTTGCAAAATTTTGACTATCCTCGGATTAGGATCTCGAGTGTTTCATTCACCCACTTTGAATTCTGGTCAAAACAACTTTTCTGTTTTGTTTTGGGGGTTGCTTTTTTTTCCGCTCTGCCTAACCAAGCCAGGAGAATATTCTGCAGAATTGTATTTGTTTTCTGTTCTGCTTTACAGTACGTGCTCCCAAACAGAGACTCAGTTGGCTGAAAACAATCCACTTCAACATTATTATCTTTCCCCCGCTGTTATAGCTGCAATGTCCTTCTCTATGATTGTCTATCAAGCTGCCTATCTCTGCCGGCACGACAATTCAGTTAATAACTGTTGAGTCCTCTCTTTCGGCTGAGATGTGAGATAGACAGTGTGACATATGCTGTGTCGACTGTCATTTCTATGGAGACAGAGAGCTCTTGTGGTTTTGAAGACTTCCTCCTTGCTACACTGAAGGATATTACAAGGAAGCTCGGAGTATCGAACTCCAGCACTTGCTGCAGCGACCCCGTCCCTCCCAGTTGCCCACCTTGCCGGTGAGGAAAATTTACTGCTGCCCTTCTACTCAAATTAAAGAGGGGGGTGGTAAGAAGAAAAAAAAAAAGACTCTCTCGGAAATCAATGTGGCAGCCCAACGTGCATTCACAACAGCCCTTTGATCAATTTATATCGAAAATACAATTAAACTGTCACAGGGGGAGAAAAGAAAGCCACATGTGCATTCAGTTTGGTCACCAAGAAGCCCGGGCACATCAATAGCTTGCCTTTTCTCCTCTGCCCTCCTGTGGCACCAAATCGTAAAAAAAGGCAGGGAGCATGATGCTATATCCATTAACACTTGGACTTCTGGTCTTTTAAAAAACAGAAAAAAAGCTCTGCAAAAAAAAAAAAGCTTCAACAGAGCCATTGCTTTCCTAAAGGCAGAGTTCAACATTTAGGGAATGGTTAGAAGACTAATGCTACAGTCACATCACAACGTCTCATTTCTGTTAGCGTACGACCCCGCTGTGTACACCATTTAAACTGTGTGGCAGGGTTGGATGGTTTGGGTGAAGTACTACCGCAAATACTGACTTTTAAATTAGACGGAAGAACTAAAGAAAAAAAACAAACACAGTTTTTTTCTTTTACAAACTGTAAAAAACACATCAGAGCTAAACCGGACAGCTGCTCTCTAGTAAGTAAAGTTAGACCTCAGTTACACAGTTCGAGTACTGGTCAAAGACTTCAATTCAATTCAATTTTATTTATAAAGGTAGACCCTACAATGATACATACAGAGAAAAACCCAACATTCATATGACCCCCTATGAGTAAGCACTTTGGCAACAGTGGGAAGGAAAAACTCCCTTTTAACAGGAAGAAACCTCCAGCAGAACTTCCTGGCAACTATCAGTTGGTAGGGAACGATTTATATTCCATGGCCAGTTGACGAGTGGTTGCTGGCTATCACGAGGTGAAATTGGTTGCAAAGCAGTACGGACTTGCGCTGAAAATCTCTTTGACATTGATTTGGTCCCTAGCAGGTTGACATGGTTACCTGTAGTTTGTATAATTTTCAAACATGTTGGTTGCAGCAGACTTTTATTCTGAAATTGAAGGTTTT